AGACTCCAAGACTTGGCACATGGGGGGGGGGGGGAGATGGGACCCGAACTGCCTCAGTGACAGGATCCTCTTAGAGGAGGTCGGTGACGTTTGCCGCGCTGTGGACTTTGCTGCCGAGACGCAGGCTAGGAGCCACAGAGTAGGGTTCCAATTGCTTTGCAGCGGCTGCACTGATGTAGACCCATGATTAGTGTAGTAATATTGGGGTTATATAGGGACAACGGAAAAGAAATTGGAAACTATTGGGTTTAGGGTTTAATGTAGACTCGTGATTTATAAGCCCCCTCCTTTCAAGGACCTCGGATCCCTATTATAATCCCTATTAAGCGGAGGGGGTTAATTAATCAGGGGTCTACATTATACCCTTGCTACCACCGGGCTTCTAAAGTCAACCGGCCCCAAGCTTTTGGCAGCCTTAAGAGGCATTGGCGTTTGCATCCTTATTTCCTGGTAGACACGGTGACCCCTATGTGCTGCCCTCGACCTACAAGCGTATGAGCCCTAAGCTAGGTACCGGGCTAGAATTGAGGGAAGAAATCCAGGATATCTTGAAGCTTCCCAACTTACTGGCGGTTAGTAGGGGGAATATCATGCCTAGATATTCCCCATAGATTGCATCCCCTTCTGCCCCACTAACCCCCAGTAAGCCAAGCACCGCGCGTTATTGCACATGCTTCCTCCGCTAATACTGAACCTTCGCCTTATATTAAATGTCACATTATGTGGTATATTATGATATACTGGGAATATTTGATATTAGGCGCGGGGTATTAATGAGCAATGGCGGAGTTGGCCCGTCGAGAGAAATCTGCCTAGTCTGTTTTTGTCGCTGCTATGGCGATTACTTACCGGTGGTTAGTAGGGAATAGGAGAATATGATCCGTATATAATCCCTGTGCGGCCCCCATATAGCCCTTCTTCCCTACTAAGCACGGGGAAGTAAAATTTAGTTTGGTGTCTCTCTACTGTCGAATGCATACAAGTGCTGCATGCGGCGCAAGTAGTTAGGTAGCCCCCATACCCGACGAACGCACGGGCTCTTTACGAGGTCCACACCCCAGAAGCTCCTCAGACATAAACGTTTAAATGTGTTGCCGTGAGCACGCCTCAGGTCGAATCCGGATTTTGTGTTGGGAGCTTCGGTTGGAAAGTATTCAGGTGNNCCCCCCCCCCCCCCCCCCCAGTTCGTGAGTTCAGCTGGGGTTAATGATTCAGTTCCGGGGTCCCAAATCGTTCGTCAGGCGGTTTGGTTGGCCCATGGCCAATGGATCTTGTGTGAGGGTTTTTCGTACACCAATCAGGCTCCAACGTCATGGTGCATGTCACAATCCTCAACAATCCACAGCAATCGGGTACTCTCAAGTATTTCTCTGCTGCAGCTGTGACAGCAATGAGTTTTCTTCTGTTATAGTTCTATGCAAATATTTCGGTCACCATCCACATCATGATTATCATTCTTAACCTCTTAACCGCCCCGAAGGATCCAGAGCTCTGGGAGCAGCTCGTGAGCTTTGTGTTGCAGCCCGACCATTCGCACCTTCTCGTGCCGCTCCTGGACGGTCTCTTTTGAGTTCATGGGTTGGGTTGTAGCGCCTTCTAATCTTGGGGGCTTAAGGCCTTAAGGTTTAGGAGCACGGATTAATGATTAAACAAAACGGCTTCCCACACATGTCCGGAACCTGACCTTCGGTTGCAACTGGCTTTGTGCCTTCGGGGTTGAGGTTTGAAGGCTGAGGGTCTGGCCAGGATTTCTTAGCCGTCGTTCAGGGTGTTTGGCTCAAGGTCAACCGGACACGGCCCACCACCCCAGGCCCTAAAATCTGAAGAGCGAGAGCCTCGCATCCAAGAACTTCAAGACGCAAACTCCAAAGCGCAGTACTTCAGAACCTACGCCGTGAAGCCCTTCATGCCCTCCTGCGCAGGATCAGCTTGACAACTTGGAGGCTCGGCGCTTGGCTGCTGTCGGTGCGGAATCGCAGAAACCGCAGCTAAGATGCAAGAAGACTCATAAGTGCCCAGAACTCAGGTAGGGATCAGGGGGGGGTGTGGTAGGTCGGAAAGCTACAGTGTACTTGCGGAGGAAGGCCCACGAGCCCCTAGAACTCATGTACGCAGGGAAGGAGCAAAACCATGAGATCCTAAGGGCGCAGGTAGTCCACGGAGACCAAGTGCCAGTCGGACCCTAAACAGAGACGACACCAATTTCAGGGTTTTGGAATTGGCGCTTGAGAGGTCGGGGTGCGGGCCTACAGGGTTCAGGGCTCGTTGTTGAAAAACTGAGCTCTTGAAATTGCAGCGCAGCTGATAGGGGATGTCGAAGGAATTGAGGGGAGTGGTGTAAGCGTGACTGTGGGAGACTTCGGGATATAGATTCAAGCTTCGCGCTTGGAAAGCTGTGTTCGCAGCTAGCGCTCGTGCACGCTCAGAGGGGCAGGGTTCAAACCAGCTTCGTGTCCGAACTCCTCAAGTCTTCAACGTAGAACGAGAATGCGAATCCACTAATTAATATGGAGAAGCAAGGCTCGAAACAACAGTTCGTTCTGCCATGCTATGGCCATATACTGACGGCCATCCTGGTGACACTGGTGATTTTGGTGTGTAAGTGGCTGTGCATGGGGTCTACAGGGGTCTAGTGGGATTTTAGAAAACGCATACGGCAGAGCGTACTTTTTTTGAAGTACGGAGGAGCAAGGAGTATTGCCAATTGGAAATCTGCTGGCATGTTGTGAGAGCTGTCCAAGAGGCGAGATGGCGCCATGCTGGAGCAGAAACTAAACTAGGTTGCAGATGCCAGGTGCCGCAAACCTCAAACAGAATCATGTTGCTGATGGACCCGGCGTATATGTGCAATGCTACCAGAAGGTTTATGTGGGTCCTACACCGGTTTTGCTCCACGGCAAATCCCGACCCTTGCCACACCGCAAGCGCGGCTCGATTCAGATGTACTCCCACGCAACCTCCTCAGCCACCATCTAGGTAGACCCCCCCGCAACACCGAAACGCGGGTTTTGGTCGACGGCATCCTGCATGCTTCATGTGTTGCAGGTGCCGAAGACATTTGCGCAAGACCACGTTGTTTTTCAGCTTGCTCTGCTTCAAGCATGCTCTGTCCTTCCCAGAACCGTCAGAGGTTCCGACGAGGAAAGTACCGCCTGATCTTTCTGAGTATCTTCATCTAACCGTCTAACCATGTCTCGAAACAAGCCGGTCCGTCTTCGCATCCCCTAAGCATGCAAGGCAGTGCTCTGGCGGTGAGACCATAGACTAACAGACCATGGGACAGACCATGCGCACTTGTCACAAGGTATTGAGGTCTAAGATGCTTAGTGTGGAAATCACCAACTTAAGTGAATGAAGGCTTGGGCACCTTTAATCCCAGGAGTGATAATAACCAACAACTCCAGTCATACAGTGACTCGCTTGTAGGCTAGCAGCTAGTATGAGACATGCCTCCACCACTAAAAACCTACATTCTGAACCTCCCAGCATTAAAAAACCGAGTTTTTGTTTCTCGAACCTCAAATATTCGGACCAGCCCTGTAAGTATGATATGACTACTCAAAATTCCTCATAGGGACACCCGGAAAGAGGCCCCCATTTCATAAACTTCCTTATATAATCTTATATGTAATATGTCTCCAGTTCAACCCCAAGCTCTAGACTCCTTTGACGCCTAAGCCCCATACACCCGTCAAGACCCTAGATTTAACAAACTCCTTGACACCCTATTGGAAGGTGGGAACCTGATCCAAAGTACAGCCATTGCAAGAACCCTAAACCAATAATCCCCGCGCCCTTGTATTTAGCGGCCCCCAGCTCCAATGCTCCGCATAAAAGACCTTATATGTGGCGGGCCATGATGACTATTAGAGTGGGGTGTTTAGTACCAGCCCTAAACCCTATGAACCTTCGATGCTATAGTAGTTGCCAGGTGCTTTTCCATTCCTGTTATATCCCCTTGTGGGGAGGTCTTTCATGCGGTTGATACTCAACATCCATCGTGACCTTAATATGCGACATTACCATAATTCCAAAGATAGCAAGTACCTAGAGTCATTCAGGATGTGTAGCGTCCGCCCTATAACCCCCTATACAATCCCAGCTTCCATTTCATGTTCCATGTTCTTTTCCATTTGCGTCTCCATTACTCGGGTAGAAGCGTAAAAGGGACAACCCTAAACCCTAAACCCCAAACAGTAAACCCTAAACCATCCAGCCCACCCTAGAATCTGGGTCGCCAAGGCAACCTCCGCCAATGGCAACGCCTTCCCATGCGAGGGGCCCCAGATTCCTACATAGGCGAGTCACATGGACTACCCATACTTTTGGGGGGAGCTAATGAGCTAGGGATAGTCTATATGAATCTCCAAAACCATAAGGGAGTGGAGGATCTTCAGATTAGGGCCCCTTTTTTGGAAGTCGCCAGTTTAAGGGGTTTAGTATATTGAAGCACCCAATTGAGGGAAACCCCATACTACAGGGGGTTGCCATAGTGGAGTTTAGGCGTGAAAGGTCTCACCAGTTTATTTGGTGCCAACTTATTCTCCACTGATCTAACTTGGGCCTTGATTAGTGGAGTGTTCTCCACCGCCCATAGAATCCAAGAGAAGGAGCCCCCCCAATCTTCTTGTCATCCCTATGTAGAATAATCCGTAGCTACCAAACCCTCACCCCTGAATCAAATTTAAGGCCAGAAGGTTCATTCTTACCTTCCTAACCTTACATCCTAAAACCTCAAAACTTATTCCCCAAGCCTCTAAAACCCAAAGCCCTCTAAACTTTAAACCCTTCTCCCTAAAGCCAGAACCCTGAAGCATACTCCCTGCAGCTGTGAGGTGTTGCGGCTGCTACCAGGCGAGACACCCTTGGCGCGCATCGCAAGCTCAATCCAACGAGCTGGATCCTCAGAATTTCAGTTTAAAGTTTAGGGATTCAAATGCATAACCTTCTTGAATAGGGAGAGAAGATTAGGAGAGGAACAGAAAATTTCAGCAAAAAGGGCTACCGGGAGTACATCGGCGTTCTGCACTGAATTTGGGTTGTCTAGAAGGCGTGGGTTTCGCAAAATCGCGAGGTGTTTAGGAAGGATTCTGCTGTTGGGCGCAAGAAGTGGAGCACGTTGACACATGTCTAGAAGAGCAATTATGCTGATGATCCTTGTCAATTCGTTGATATCATGACTGATCTAGCAAAATTCCAGCATCACGATGTAAGCCTAAACTCTTAGCCCTACGCTAGCCATGATGAGGTTTGTCACCCGGAGGAACGCTGTAGGAACGGGTTTTTCGATGCAGGAACCGTCTCTTCAAAAGAAGGCCGAAGGAGGTTAGTGACATCAGTCCCCCTATGATCCAGCAGAAGATGCACAATCACATCGTGGCCCTGAGCCCCGCCTTGCCACTCATGCTAACCTCCCTCATGAGGTTCTCCATCTATACTGCCCCCCTAGGCTCCCCCTTTAGCGTTCAGTCTCCCATAGTAACCTCTTTTGAGAACGAGCAAAGGACAGGTAGTGCGGGAAGGGGGCGCGTGGTAGGGGAAGCCATGACTCCAGCAGGTTCTTGACTCCCTGCGTCTCTCGTCTGAGCTGCATGCCGCCGGGACGCATTGAGCAGGGCTTCAAAGTCATGACATGACCGCCGCATGGAGATCCTGAATCACACAGGTCTCAATATGGCACACGAAATGCTTCGGAGTCCTTTGAAGAAGACACAGTTGGGTGCGTGTCAGAATCGGGGTCCTCTTGCCGCAGAAGGGCAACTGCAGGAGTGAGATCTTAACAAGTCAGCACCACGCAGTCTCAACCTTGCAATTCACTTTGCATGGATGGCCCATGGGGTAAGCGGGCGGAGTGGCAACATAATTTAATGATTCTCCAAAGGTTTCATGCACCCCTGCTCTGCAGGCCACTTGCGCCCGGCTGTCCTCGGACGAAATGGTGAGTGTTAAGAAGGCCTCAAGCTCATTAGCGCTTTGTGTGAAGGATTTGATGCCCAAAGCATGGGGTGTTTTCAACATCGTTGGACTGATGTAATCCCCCCCTGATATTACACCTCCCCACCCCCCTTGGTACACTAAAGTCTGTTGGACATATGTAACATTAGTGGGGTTTGGGGGTGTTTAATATTAGGGGGAGGGGATTAACTAGAAAGCCTTCTCTTCCAGCTACTCCTGAACTGGTGTTTGCAAGTCCTGCCGTGCTGCTGTTGCTCCCGCTCCTGCTCCTCCTGCTGCTGCGATGACCCTTCTTTCTGATTACCGTTGCTGCAATATCCTACCCAGTTCTTCACTGAAGAAGGACGCAACACGCATGCGTTCGTCCACCTCCGATTGATGGACACAGAATACCGCCAATCCTTATTGAGCCACCCAACCTGTCAATACCAGCGCCTTTCGAAGAATTGAAAAAGTGCCAGTTATTTGTAGACGTATCATGTGATGTTGAGCATTGAGGGAGTGAGATTGCATGCAAGGGTCTCAGGCTCCGTTGTAGCAGCTGCCCTTTTGCTTCTAGACAGTTCTGCTGCCTCTCCTACTTTGCAAACCTTCAAAGTCCCCCTTACATAATACACACTTGCTGCGCTATGTGTACATATATATATATACACATATACATATACATATCACATATTACATATTACATGTTACATATATATATATGTATAGCTTTGTGCACCTCACCTAGCCCAAACACTTTGCAAAGGGACCCACACCAAAAGGCACAAATCTTGAGTGGTTATCAACCTACGCCCTGCCTGCCCACATTGCATCAACTGAGATCACACTTCTGGCAACAATGGAGCAGTCTTTCCGCATTTCTGAAATGAGTCATCCCAACCCTACACGGGCTTTCCAGGATTAGGCGGTCCATATATCAACCCCACATGCTAGAATCCTTCCAAAGGTACTTGCAGAATAGGGGCCCCTCATTACCTGACTCTGTGAACCCCTCAAATCCTCCCTGCGCACCTGCGCAGCACTGCATGACGGCCTACCGCCGCGGCCGGGGCTTTTCCGTGGCCGGAGCCTGCCAGCTGCCAGGCACAACTGCTTTGCGTACTGTTGCTTGTCAAGGAATAAGTATACGGGGATTCCTATTCCCTTATTCCCTAACAGCAAGTTTATCCTGCAGAGTTGAAGCAGCGAAGTCGATCTTTGGGTTGAAGTCTTTTGGGGAAGTATGTCAAGAATGTTGGGTGTGGAGAGCTCTAGGTTGCAGGGTTCAGTGGTTATTTTGAGCGCTTGAGCGTGCAGGCCTTGAAGACTTGGGCGGCCGCACCGCGACTTGAGCGGTTGAAGGTTAAGGGCTTTCTTTCATCAAGTGTATCACAAATTCAAGTGCCACCCAACTACATAGCATTCAGGGCTAGAAGGAATGCTCCAGGAACTTCTAGACATGCTACACAGTATCCTTCACATGGCTTTTGATAGGACTTTTCAGCCTGGCTCTTGGGAAGCAAGCGTGCTTCCAGACTGGTCAAGATTTGGAGATGTTGATGAGGTGAAATGGTAAATTTCAAGATTGGCAGGCACTCGTCCTATGCGGGGTTAGCCTAACCTAAACCCTAAACCCCATTGGAGCTCAAACCTAGGGCTCTAAGGGCTTTAAGGGACATCAAACCTAGGGTTTTAGGGCTTCAGGAACCTTAAGCCTGAACGTAAGCATCCATCCAGATGGCAGCTACGACGGACTGAAAGGGCTCCGTCTCCGCCTCAGGGGTTTGGCGAAGATCTGGGATTTTTTCGAAGATTTGGGGTGCGTTTAGGGGAGTCCCCAAAAGGAATCCCCCAGAAAGGATTGTCGAGTTGTAGTATTTGTGGTACAGGATGGGTGGCCTTTTCTGTACAGACTCCCAAGTGGGTTTTTAAGTTTCAGGGACAAGGCTTCTCTTGCTTCTGGAGTCATGCTGTGGCCCCCCCTTAATTCATTATCCCTGAGCCCTAAATAGTAGCTTCCATTTTCTTTTCCATTATCCATAGTATTTGGTTCCAAAGGGTTGGGTTTTGGGGATTTCAGGTTTTCGTTTCAAGGTTCGGGTTTTGGGCTAAGAAGCATTCGGGGAGTGGGGGAGTTTCTCCACAGAAAGGATCCCATGTTCATTCCAAAGCAGGGACTAAGGACTGTAGTACTTGATCCTGTGCAGAAGCTCCATATGCACTCCCAAACCTGGGTTCTAGCCAGGATACACAACATTGGAGGACTATAGGATTTCGAGTCAGTCGGTTTCGGTCACACCCATGATGGTTGTAGCCTTCTGTTTGGGGGATGGGGGCTGTCGGGTTCCTGCTGGCCATGCAGCCCTGGAACCAGTCAGTGTAGCAGAAACACGTAGGGTTTTGCGGCCTTGTACATGTGCCTGAATGGATCTTGATTCTGTTTGCCATGATTTGAGTGACATCAGGGATTACCGTCGCAGGCTTCTTGCCAATCGGCGAGCTTTAGCTTGTGACAGTTACGGCAGCCTGACTGTTATGGTGCCAGATTTCCTTTAGCTCTACACCCTTGCGCTTTACATAGAGAACTCGCTCATGTGATGTCACGCTTGTTTCGGAAATCCTTGAACTTGTCAATCCCAAGCCCCAATCCCGACAGTTTTGACGGGAATTGTAGGCCTCTGCAGTATGAACCTTGCCGCCTTCAGCTGTTTCATGTCCCAGGCATCGTCCACGTTCCTGGCCGGTGAGCGCAGCGACGCCATTTGTAAAGCTTGGGTTGAGGGTTTAGTTCCCAACGCCTGTAAGTGTTGATCGTGTGGGTGCGTGCAAGGCGCCAGAGCATTAGCAAAGCGTTAGCAGAACCATGTTTGCGAAGGGTGCTTCAAAACAATCATTCGGCCTTTGCATATGACAGGCACATTCTCTGACTTTCACTCATAGGCAGAGGGTAGCAGAATGCTTCACTGTAAGCTCGGTGTTGTTGCTGCGCATGCTTTCGGCCTGTAGAACATGTTGCGTATAGACTGCAACGGGCACACGGTAAGGAGAAGCAGTTTATGTATGTTTGTGATCCATAAACTTCCGGCTGTGAGCTTACACAGTGTTCTCCCGCCTGGAGAGGAAAGAAGAGATAAAGAGCATCAGGCGATCAGAGGGTATGTCAGGCTGCGAATTTATGCATATGGTGCGTGGCCCTGCCAGGAATATCTAAGGGTTTCAGGAGTTTCCAGGCTTCCATCACATGATACAACATACCAGAGTCAACTTGAAAGCGTCCCAACTAAACCTCAATGCAATTTCCGGGTGAATGCTGCGCTTACTCCCCAGCCCAATCGGGCGTCGATAAATCGATTCAGTCACGACGAGGGGGGAGGCACCCTTGCCAACCTGGCTATATGCCATTTCTGGGCTTCTCCAAAGCTTTCAGCCCTAAACCCTAAACCCTAAATAATGGTTTCCAGCTTCTTTTCCGTTATCCCAATATAACCCTAATATTACCCCAAAGGGTACCTATGGCCGAAGGCCTCAGGCTGTCAAGAGAAGGCCCCTTCCCCCCCGTCAGTTGGTTTGGATTGCTGTCGGTCCGGAAGCGCTTGGCTTCTGGGCAGCCAGACATTCAGCTCCCTTCGTCCCACGAAATTGGGGTCCCCCTCAATAACGGTTATCATTCAGTGCTACCCGGATGGACCCCGCAACGGGGGGATACTTCATCATCATGCAGCATCCCCAAAGCAGTTCTAAAACTGGCGGTTCCTTCTTAGCACCATGGAACAAGCACGAGGACTTTTTTCGCGTCTATCAGACCGACGCTTCCCTGTTTGGAGATGTTGTCGCCTCATTTCCTACCGGACAGACGCAGGGGAAAAGCATCTGCTTCTGTGTCATGCCATTGATGGGGGAATACGCACCTAATTAATCACTTTCTACCAGTAAAGGCCGCCCTTCTCCCTGAAAAACGATTGGTCACGGGCAATCATAAAAGAGTAAGGTCCGCGAAAGCTCCAAAAGCGACATTAACGCTACAGGGAACAAAGATCAGCGCACAACACAGTCTTGTAGCATATTCGGCCGAGTCCACTCACAAACCCCCAAAGGCCCAGATGCGCATGGTAAAGCCAGACGCAGGATGAGTCTGGCATCCTTTGGCTAAATGAGCATCCTACACCCATTATATAACCCCAATAGAATCCTTATTATAGTACTTTCCATCTTCTTTTCCGTTATCCCTATATAACCCGAATATATATCCTATTATAACATTGTAGTTTCCATTTTCTTTTCCAGTATCCCCATATAACCTCAATATATACACTGAGTCTTGGACATGAAGTTGCTCAGATATGATGTAGGGTTTATGATGGGTCATATAAGATTATGGGGTTCTATAAGGATTATGTAGGGGATAATGGAAAAAACATGAAAACTACTATAATGGGGTCATATGGGGTATGGCTGATTAGAGGTGGGATGGAGATCCTAAACCGCGGCGGTTCGAACCCGCTTCCCCGTGTTACGACTATTTCAACCGGGGATGGGGTGCTGGATGTGAGGGAAGCGATGAAGAATTCATCATAAGATCCCACAAGCACTGTGCTCTATGTCAGCTCAAGGCAATGTGTCCTGTGGCCTGGGGTCTTTTCTATGTACCTGATTCGTTCACTTCACTCCGCCCTGCAACCTAACAGCTCTAACATGCACTGCTCAAGACACTCCCTGCGCCATGCTTCGAGTGAATCTTTGTCACCAGACCACAAAAGACCTCCAGCTTTAGAGCATTTGCTTAACCAGGGCGGCACCAAAACCTGCAACAACCACAAAGCCCAAGGCAATGAAGCCTCCCCGGAAACTCACCTTCTTGGAGACATTCCGCACTCAGGCGGATGAGCTTCGTGTTGCGTTGAAGTGGCAGGGCTTCGCCATCGATGGTCCGGCATTGGGCCCAGGGGCGCGCTAAAGGTGCGTTTTGGCGTGTCGGAAGTGTTTTGAGGGCTTGTTGGGCAAGGTTCTGATCTTCGAGGCGCTACTGCAAGCTCTTCGACGGCCCAGTGGACACGAGGTTTTGCCCATCAAAAGGTTGAAGCCACTCACCCATATCCCACTCAGGCAACGCCGCCATTCGCTCTCGTTACGAATGCTTCAAAATAACAAGTTAATATTGCAAATCGCACTGAACTAAGTTTCCCTGCGAGGAGTTTGAGATGTAGGGTCGTTTCCTTCACACAACATCCCAGGACCCAGATGTAGGCATCCCTACCAGAATCTCAGACCCACAAACCCTATACTCAAACCTGTTGGTTCGAGCGATTCAAAATTGGCTGATGTGCATGTTTATCTCGCTGGCTGAACTCAATGTCGTTGTTCCTATACTGATTCTGCGGCTTTCTCAACAGCTCCCCAGATGATGGGCAGGGTCATCTTGAAAGGGACGCCATTTTTGAGAACACCTTGTTCTGCAAGTTCTGAATCTGCAGGCCTTGCAAAGGTTGAGACGAGAAGAGTATTCTTCTAAGGACAAGCCATCTCTACCGGGGTGGCAGTTGGGTGCGAGATGCGTCCACTTAGGGTCTCTGTGTGCTGAGCCACACATTTTTCGAAACTTCGCCTCACACATATAGGGCAACAGGCAGCGCCTTGGGGCCATGCTGAGCTTTCGAAATCTAAAGTCTTGACCCTGAGATGTTAGGCCTCATCATACTTCAACCCAAACCAGACCGCTGCAAGGTTGTAGATGCTTTGGCAGAAGAGGTCGCGAACTACACGAAGGGGCTGAATCAGCTCCACTCTCAGCCTTACCTGTTCAAAGAAAAACTTGTAGAGTCCCAAGTTCAGGTTTGGTTCCTAATCATTATGTAGATTTCTGGGGAAGGGTTGTAAAGAGCTGGGATTCAGGCTTCAAACGGATTGAAACGGGCAGGCAGGCTGACATGCAAAGTGGAAAGTTCTCCGAACGGACCGTTTGGGGCATGTAAGGGCCACCGAGGGATATGTAAGAAATAGAGAGATACAGGTATGCATACAAGGATCACGGATGTATAGAGCTTTCCGGGCGGAAAGACCCCAGAGATTGAAATACAATGTCCACAGACATTATGACCGAATACATCCTATCCTGGAGGCTCTCCACACAACCTGAAGATGCCCCAACCTAAGTCCCCAAACGCCTGAACCCCTAAACCCCCTTGAGGCGGGAGTTCCTCATCTTCATGCGAAAATATCGAGACCAGGAGGCGCGAGGAGTTCTTCCTTGAAGAAGTTTAAATGAGCAGGGAGGTCAGGACAGTTCCTGTTAGCGGCCCAGCGCCAAAGATGACACGCAACTTCAGCAGCTCATAAATGCTAGCCTTGCACAGGCCCCCGCCTGGTCTGGAGAGCCCCAGAATTCTTGGCACATAATACTCCGAAAATTATCCATGATTTTGAGAGAGCCCTTCTTGAATCTATCAAAAGCATTGCTTCGGAAGTGCTGTCAAGCTGAAGCATTAAATTGTCCAGACACCGGTAAAGATCACAGACTAGGTACCCCAGTCGTACCCTTTCCCCTTTTTGTTTTGGTGTCTCCTTATCAAAGCTGATAGCTAGGAAAAGGGTACCCTGATAGTAAGGGGTTGCTGGGAACTTCGCAGAAGAATAGTTGGGATCCCCATGATTTAGATGCCTTGACTTACTGGTGCTTAGTAGGGAATATAAGGGAATAGAACCGGTACATAATGTAGTTCCCTTATTCCCTGCTATAACCCCAATATATTCCCCAAAATAATGTAGTAGTTTCCATTTTTCCACTATCCCTAGATGACCCCTACATATCCCCTTGTCCTTTACTAACAACCAGTAAGTTGAAGCCTCTGGGCCTGCAGGTACAGAAGATCATGCAGATGAGCGTGGCGATGAGTGGAAGCTTTGCTGGCAGGCATGAGCTGTAGTCTAAATGCCGAGAAACTGTGCAAGGCATTTTTGTGAACATTTGTTCTCATGTTGTTTCGGGTATGGAAGTGGTGGAGCATTGTCTCAGGCGAAGGTCGCTGTTTGCAGGTACCTTTGGAGAGATTGCAAGGAATGGGCTTGTGGTGTTGGTTTGATATCAGGAGTGCGGGGAAGGCTGGGTTAGTCTCAGAACGGTATTCTTAGAAGGGGGTTGAGGCTGGGAGGGGCCGGTCGAGTTCTTAGTTAGGCTCTTAAAGACTGACAGGACTACCCCACAAGCTATGGAAATCCTGAATACCTGGAGGTTTGCGCTGAAGGCCGCTATTTCCATGAGGAGGGTACAGATGCCGAACCCCGCAGCCATGACGCCAGGAGGGAAGAAATCAAGGTCACACGCGAGACGCGGGTCCAGATGAAGGACTTACATAAGCTGCCAAAGCCTCAGCGCTAGGTCATATAATTTGAATTATGATTATTACGCGCACTATTACTATGATTACGGGTACTATTATTGCGAATTGTGGTTATTGTGACTGTTATCATCATTGTTATTATCCGTTCTTTCAGCACATGGGGACGCCCTTCAAGGAGTCAGCTTGTAAGTAATCCCCTCCCCTTAATATTAAACCCCCCACCCCACCTACTCTTAAATATATTTGGTATGTCATACTATTCTAGTATATTGGGATTATTTAATATTAGAGGGGTTGGGGGTTTAATATCAGCTCTAAATCCTGAACGCTAAATCCTTATCATAACCCCGATTTATACGTTTAAGGGCGGGTGGATTTTGATATTAGGGGATTCCAAGGGATTAGCAGGCTGAGGCTTCGGGGCCTCACCGCTTTACGAGCCAGAGGATGGGAAGCGCCTTCGGATTTCGGGCCTCTAGCTTACTGGGGAAAACTGGTAGTAGGGCATGAGGGACATATTTGCATGTACTTTTCTTGCCATACATACACACACAGATATGTAAATATGGATCATATAGGGATTATATGGTTTAAGGCCTATAGTACTGGAGGTTAGTAGGAAACAAGGGTCTCCAAGGTTCCGGGCTGCAGGCGATGAGGCACAGGTCCTGGATTTGCAGCAGGCTGCACGAGGCTTCTCCAAAAACAGTATGTGAGATTATGAGAAGCCCTACTGCGCAGATACCCAGGGGCAAATACTACAGTCACCAGCACTGCGACTCCCCCAAAAGCGACCCCTAATTTTTGGGAAGCCCACCTGTATTTTTGGAAGAAATCATGTAGAGAACCTCCCTATATGTGAAACAGCGCTTGCAGACGGTCCCTTGCTGGGCTTGACTGCGCATAGCAGGGCAGAGTGCGAAGTGCTGCATACTTACCAATCCCCTCATATTGATTTTAAACACCAACCCCCCGCCCCTAACATGAAATGTTCCCCCTATGAAGCCTCCTATATGCGGGAACATATTCATTATTCGCGGTTTAATGCTTATTTGGGTGCGGGGGAAAGGGCTATAGGATTGCTGACCTGGATAGAATCATAGGGGGCCCACGTTGTTGAGAGCCAGGCGCGCAAGTCCAGGAGCTTTGTTTCAGGAAACAGTTTGAATGAACGCATGAATATAGACTGAATATGACTGAATATGATTTGTATTTCATTCCCCCTCAAGGTCATGATGCGTGTCTTCGATTCTATAACCCCATGCCCCAAATGCTGTTGTTGCTTCTTCCCAAGTGGTGTACCAGCCAAATTGTGACCCCATGTGTTACTTGGGGTCCCTGGCAACAACAGGCGCCCCAAACCCTACATCGGGCACATCGGGGCTTTCTGCCACAACTTCATCCCCATGACCTCCAACTCCACGAATCCAGAACACGAAATCAGCATTCTTCAATCTGATCGAACCTGATATCTAGAACCTCGAGGGTTGCAAGGTCGTACCTGGCAAGCCAGAAGGTTTCACTGATGACTGAGTGGTTGACAGTCACAGGGGAGAGAATTATATGGTTCCCCATACTCGCGGGACTTCTTGACAAGGAGGGTGCGTGAATGTTGCTAGAGTAACTGCCTGGCTAGTCCACAGCCCGTGCTTTGAAGCTTTTTAATTTGAAGGGTGGTGCTCGAGACTGTCCCCAAAATCTTGGCACGATAAGCGTCCCAGGTACAACTACAGAGACTCCAGACGGCCAACCCTCCTAATTATTATACAGGAAATCGTGGTACTACTTTAGGAAGATTCTTGATGGAGCCATGGTAACTCAGGCTGCAAAAGATGGGTTACGAGGAAGTTTCTTCCGAAGTCCTCCAGGCTCGCAAGCACAGGGTTTATGGCCTATACCTGGGGCATTTTAGGGTCTAGGGCTTAAGGTTGAGAGTCGCGAGTCTCAAGCAGTTAGGAGTGGCTGGAGATGGGCGTGTGTGTTGGGGGAGTTGGAAGTCTAGCGGTCAGGATTTTTGGAATTAGGTTTAGGGTTTAGGGGTTTAAGGGTTTCAGTTTTAGGGTGATAATTGTGTTTTCGTGCCTGGGTTGATCTGTAGTTGAAGCTTACGGCCGGGCTAGGTTTTGGGTCTGGCTTACTAGCCTCGTGTGATGAACGACAAGGGACACACCCGGGAGAAGAATGAAACTCAGGAGTACTCTGAAATATTTTTGCTTTTTGCTTGTCATAAGCCTGAGAAAAAGAAAAACGAGTTTACTAGGGTTCCAAGTTCAGCATAGGAAAATTAGGAAATGTATCCAAGCTCTTTGGCGTGTTTTTGAGAACCTGTTGCAACCAGAAGCTTTCTGGGTTTTCAAGACATTCTAGTACCCCCGACCCCCTCAACAAAAATTGGCCCTCAGGTAGAGCCCCCGTAGCGGCTGTTTTGGGGTCCGCGTTTCTCTGGGAGAGTATCATGCATTCAAGCCCACCTGGTGGCGATTTGATTCTGTGGGTTTATAGGGATTAGAGGCTCTTCATCTGAGAATTGTCGAGGCTGGGTCTAGGTTGGAAATGGCATCTACCGGAAACTAGTTCCCAAGATTTTAGTCCTAGACCCTCCGTCTACCCTCTATACACCCCTAAATACCCACTATTAGGGACCATATACCCCTAATTAAGGGTACAAGGAGGGTCCTGGGTTGTAGCAATACCATACCTTCAACAAGGCTCCCACATATGACCGTTAAAGGATGAGGGCCGTATCAAAGGCGATGGGTTCGGAGCCCAAGCTCGTAGGGAAGACCCTTGCTGTAAAAGATAACCCTAAACCCAAAACTGTTTTCCATAATATACCTTAGGAGGACCCCCCACCCTGTAATAGTGGTATAAACAGAATATAAGAGGACCCTGATATACTCCCCATTATCCCTTATAGTCACTATTACTGGGTGGGGGGTCCACCTAAAATATACCCTTACCTTAACCCTAAACCTTGTTTTAGGGTGGACCTTGTCCGGGCGTCGCCTTTGCCATCGGCCAATCGCTGGAAGCACCAGATTCCCAAAAGCTTCAGCCGACATCGAAGAGAAGATGCAAAGTGCTATAGGCCGTTAGATCCCTTTCAAGCAGTCATAGAGATAAGCAGGATTCAGGCTTGAAGGATGGGGAGAACCGAAATCAAATGTGAAAGAATGTGGAACACGGAATGGAAACGATTCTATCCATAACTTGAAAAGCCAAGGACCCTTCAAACCACAAGCCTCAGAGAATGACGTGTATGAACGGCAAGCACCAGGCATCAGAAACCCGAAGCTCCTCGATTAGCTTCATGGAACCTTCAAATGGGATGGTTTGGAATGCGTGCTCCAAAGCCTGCATTCCATCAAACCCGTTTCAGGAGTGCGCTTCGTTAGTGGAGCGCTTGGCTTTTTCGTGTCCTTTTGGTCTTGTTTTTCTATATTCCAAGGTAGTAGAGACCATGGGCCGCCAGTATGGGCCATGAAGACTGCAAAATTAGGGATATCTTCTGAAAGGTCCCCATAATTGTCATGATCAATAGGAATTATAGTGTTTTGGTGTCTATATCGGGCGTCCGCTGTTTTCGGAAACTACCATATACCTACTAATGTGCGGTCCTGCTTAGTGTAGGACCCCCTAACAAAAAAAGAGCCCCTAATTTCTGTAAGGGGGGCTCCCCAAACGAATGTTGATCCTAGCTATAAAGTAAATTCAATAGGAGGGAGCAGGATCTGTTCAGGTAAACGCTCAGAAGGGTTTTAAAAGGGTCGCTGTTGAATTGTTCTCTGATTGTTTTCTTGGCCGCGCAGCTTCGCATAATTCAGGGCCCCAAACAAAATACAGTAGGAGTTGCTGAATAATTTGGGTGAAGCTTCGCGCAATCGAGGCCCCCCGCACTAAGCGGGACCATACATGACACACCCTTTCTACACATGTACAGGAAAAGGAAGGTTGTTGGGAGCGAGCGAGTCTTAATGGCAAGATCATGGTTACCAAGGGATGGGCTCTCAGCATCGTGGTAGTTTGGCTGTCAAGTTTTTTAGGATGACGTAGACGTAAGGGTGAGGTAACAGGCTAGATGAACCTTTCAAAGAAAGCGCTGAAAGGACTCCTATGGATCCTTCCCGAACCATTCAAACTTGGGTAGGATAGCTCGTCTCTCTGGTTGAGTGTGGCGGACAGCGGATTTCAACAGGGTTGGCAGCTGGTGGAACCTTTATGTTTATATCCTGCGTATCTGCTGGCACCTGCGATAATTTAAAGAGTGCTTGCCACAGAGGAGAGGGTTGAATCCCGAAACCCAACGCCACCACTCATTTGTGATATACCTTGGTCACTTGCTAGGAACCGCTATAATGCGGGACGTTCTTTTATGACAGCAGCCCCATAACCATAACAGTCGGCGGGGCGGCGCAAGATAAAAACGGAGGCTCCCTAGGTTCCTGGGGGCTTTGGGCATTGACCTAAAGGGGATGATCTGGTTCTTGTTAGGTGCTGAAGACCCAAACACTTCAGAGAGGACCTTGGAGCATTGGCCTGGATGGAGCCCTTTAAAGGCAGCCCCCACCTAGAAGAGGGTCTCTCAT